TTACTTTATCGGATGTGTCGAATTTGCTACTAAGACAGGATAAATAGCGGTGTCATCTGCATAAATATCTAGTTGGGAACTGATGACACCGAGAAGGTCGTTGATGGAGCTTAGAAACAACTTAGCTCCAAGGATAGAGCTATGGGGGACCCCGCATTAATAATAGATTTTATGTTATGGGATGTTTTTATAAGTTCCCTGAGAGTATGCGGTATTGTGGTATATGGAGGAATGATGGTTAAGTGCTTTTGGTCGATGTACAAATTGTAATGAGTGAATGGGTCGTGAATCTGATTAGCTGGGTATAAGATAGTAAGTGATGACCGGCCTCAGTCCATCCCCCACCATTTTCGGTCTTGTGCCACAATTGTATTTTATATAAATCTAGACAGTGGAACGAGTGTCGTGTTTATTCTGGTATTTAAATCATACCTGGAGGAGGAGAGATGGTTTCATGCCTTTTTACAAGCGGATCTGTACTAAAGTGAACCAAACAAACTCGATCTGAGTTTGAACTAGGTTCGCCGATTTCTCTTTCCGAATCGCACACCTGCATTCATAACAAATTATTTAGCCTGAAACTGTCAAATGACAATGAACGTGAGTATATATTTATTAAGGCTCGTACTGAATAATTATTGTAATTAATTTTGCTAATATTTTCTTTCGTCTTACGTTGCTTTTTTTTTATCTACAACTGTTAGCAAGTAACTCGGAACAGAAACAAATGAGCATCAAGCAAAATTCAAACCCGTGAAAAACGACATTCCAGATCAGCTGTTTTAACGATTTGACTACAAATACCAGCCGCCTACAATAATTCAAATCTATCAATTTATCCTTTATTTTCTCGTTCATTCTTTATATTTACCGAACGCCATCATTTTTTGTTTAAATGTTGTTACGGGTGGTATATTGGACCGTAAACAGATACTGAATGACGGAAGTCAAGAACAAAAAAAACAAAGACATGAGTAAAAAACAATATATTACCAAGTTTATTTTTTTTTAAGAAAATACATTGACAAAAATAAGGTTACATTGCACTAGGCAACAAATATTTCTGTCTGTCCATGTAGAGGGTAAAAAAAAAGTTTTCTTCTATGCGCTGTGTCCCTTGAGGACGTAGGCGATGATGGCTATCTATATCTATTTCTTCCTGTCCCTTTGTTGTAACCTAGGGAGGGTTACTGAATAGAATAATCAAACGAAGGTTTGCAAGAACGATAATACTTACGACAAGAACAACACATATAAGATTCGCCAGTGGCGCGTAAAAGTAGTCAACTGCTAGAAGTGAGTGAAGTGAATTCCACAGTGAATCTCCAACGGTCGACCAACATACAGTATTCATTACTGTATTAATGGGAATGGGAGTATACCTATTATCGTCCATAGGTATGCTATAACACACTTGTAGCTCTCAATAAGCTTTGACCTTTTGTTATTTCTCCCAAACCTGTTCTACCATCGACTGACTTAAGTCCGTTAAGTATGTCGCGCGTTGCTTTCATTTGTTCCTCGTTCCCTCTATCCGCCCTGGAAGTTTCATATTTTTCTAACCCTCCTTTCTCATTACGTGTCCCAGAAAGTTCAGCTGCCTCATTCTGATGTTATGTATGAGTTTCCAGTTTGCTTGCATCCTCTCCAAAACCTCATCGTTGGTCACATGTTCAGTCCATGGTATCGTTAGCATCCTTCTGTAGAACCATACCTCTTTTGCCTCCAGTCTCTTCTTCATCTTTGAGGAGACCGTCCAACATTCGCTGCCGTAAACGAGGACAGATATCACGTAGCAGTTCTGTACTCTTTTCTTTTTTACTAACGAAATCCTACTCCTCTCTCGTAATACTCTTCTTAGCTTTTGGAATGCGTCTTTGGCCATCCCAATAAGTCTTCGGATCTCAGCGTCGCATTTACCGTTTTCTGTCAGAACATTTCCCAGATATCTAAATTTCCGCGCCTACTTGATTTTAGTGTCCCAGACCTGTAAATCGCATTTTGCTGATGACCATGCATTCTGACTTCTTGTAGTTTATGCTTAGTCCTTTCTTCTCGCTCTCCTTCGCTACTTTCTGTAGGAGGTTTTGTAGATTCCTTTCTGTGCCTGCATATCTTATGTTGTTAAGATTGTGGCCACCAATGATTGATCCTAACCCTTTCCAGTTCTCTCAGAATTGCCCCGCTGTATAGGTTGAATAAGTCCGATGAGAAGACACATCTTTGCCTTACGCCCCTTTCTATTTTTGTATATCGGCTGAACTATTTTCCTGAAAAACACAGCTTATCGCATATCATTGCTTCTGACGAAGCTTGCTGAAGCGACGGCCGATGGAGTTGCGGCTGCTAATGACTGAAACAGTGGGCCGTCTGTCTGCTCCTAAAACAGATACTACACTTTGATCCTAAGCATTGTGTCCGCAGATAATCATTTTCGTAGAATTTTTTTTTTTTTTTTTTTTAGGCCTTTTTATATGTTGAATCAGTTTTGCAATCGTCGCTAGTCCTGGAAGGTAAAATTTCTTCTGGTTGTTTAAAATTGTGGGTGTACCCGACAGGATACGACAATGTTTCTCTGGTACTATTAGCTGTACTGTTATTCGTATGTCTTAGATGAAGCTTTGTCTCTTATTTCTAATATTCTTACTAGAATGTCTTTCATCCTATTTTTGTGTGCTTTCGATCCGCGTTGCTTATTAATAATGGTAACATGATAGTTTTCTGAAAGTTGTGATAACAATGCTTCATGTAAGAAATTCAAGTAATATCTATATGAATATCTACAAGATGAAATCAAAACACGTATCATTACCTCCAAAAATCTGGCTATTACAGTTATTTCATTATCGAAATAAGGTATCGATCAATTCAGGGAAGCACTGATTTTATACGATCCATAAAATTACAAATAAAAATTAAATATTTGTTTAAAGCCGTTAATAATTCAACTAGTAGTTGCAAGAGTGCTCAAAATCATTTAGTTCTGTTTAAAATGTAGAAAAATCTACTGAAGCGTTATCACAAGTGCAAACAAGGTCGGAAAATATATTGTGTTTGTTCACTAAGTGACACACTAACCCCAGACAGTACGTTATGAAGGTAAGAGGGAGGGCTGAGAGGTTCATAGGCTGACGATAAAGAAGTAATGTCAGAGCTGTGAAATCTTGCATGCATTATTTTAAATCATATTAATAACTAATTGTTGTTTATAATGACGCGTTTCGTTCCGAGAAGGAACATCTTCAGACTAATAAAGGTTTTATTGATGGATATATATATATATATATATATATATATATATATATATATATATATAATGGACTCTCCGTCGGTTTCGACGTATCAGGATCGGACAACGTAATTGATTCAGTTATGACATTTTGTGAGATAATCTTAAGTGACACTAGTGATTTACAAAGGAGGCCGCATATGGAGCAAGAGTGAAGATTGTGGGGTGAGATCACTGTTAGATTGGCTGACCTTTTAGATCTTGCTCTCGCTTCTTGAAGACGATTCAGACTAGCAGATTGAAAACTGCTGAGTCCACTAAAACACGTTGATCTCCATTATACCCGTTCCAAGGCTAAGCGCTCGAGGGTGTTATGAGGTATATTAACAGCTGACAAATTGCTCTTCAGCTTGTCTTTGTATCTTAGCCATGGGCGTCCTACATATTTATACATATATATATATATATGTGCGTGTGTGTGTGTGTGCGTGTGTGTGTTGGGAAAACGTTAAAGGGGAAGACATGCGTGAATAAAACAATTACATTTTACATAGGAGCACTAAAGAGGCTTAACCTTTAAATTTAAATTTTGACATCTGATGTATCAAAATATTAAACAATCTATATCTGTCAGCATTTTGTTGTTTTTATGTTGTTGTTGTTGTTTTATCGTTTATTTTCACAGCATTATTCTTATGCGTACATACACAAACACAAATGCGTGTAGTAAGACATAAAATCCGAACAAAAGTGGAAAGATAACAACAACCACAGGACAGGAGCAGGAAAATACAAAATAAATTGTACAAAATAACCATTGATGTACATCGGTGAAACGTCTAGAAATGTCAAAAAACTATATGAGCATTACAGAGATATGCGGCATAACAACACTTTAAACGCACCGGTAGTTCACCGTAATACATCTGACCACAATTTCGAATTGATAAATGCAAGTCTGAATAAGAGAGAAAAAGATTCACTACGAAGAAAATGCATTGAGAGTGCGCTGATCGCACAGTTCCCGGTGTTAAACTTCTGACCAGGCTCATATATAATAGCACAGATTATTGCTAAAGCAATAGCAGCACAATGTGGTATGCGAGCTTAAACGCAATCTTCATACCTGAAGATTGTGTTTAAGCATAAAGCAACCTGTCGCCATACGGTGTTGTTCTCAGTGTCCTCTTATATTTACACATGCTCTTTCCCGGACATTGGGCACTTTTACCCATAAATATATCATACCTCAAAACTATATTTTATAATACAATTATTATAGTACAATAAATATTTAATACAATCACAGGCCTTTTTTTTTTACATATAATCGGAATATGGATTGCTTAAGTATTGGGTTTCAGGAGATTGTTCCATCAAACCTTCTAGAAGAGTTCTCCTGTGATATTGTAAAACCAAAAACAAAATTTACGTCTCCATTCTCCTGGTTCTAAAATCTGCCGGATTTCTTCTTTCCAAATAGATTTAACGATGACAAACTAACCCTGATTTCACACAATTTTTATTTATTCTTTCTTACTGAATGCCACTTGTTATTAAAAGTTTAACCTCTTTATAGTATCGAATTTCTACCAAAGTTAACCCTCCGTTGGTGCGGCTATGAACTTTGTAATAATTACTCTTTTCATTTCTAAAAGATTCCAAAGTAAATAATAGTGTTCTCTTTAATAAAAGCTCGCTATAAAAAAAAGCATGAATGAATGAATGAAAACGAAGAAAATGTAAAGTATAAATTAAGAAAATGGAATTATTAAGAAAGAAAGAAAAATAGAAAGAAAAGAAGGAAAGTAAGTAAAATGGATAAATGAAAATCATGAAGAAAAAAAATGAATAAGTGAAAAAAAATAGAAGAAAAAGAATAATGAATAAAATACATAAAGGAGAATGATTTAAAATGGCACAAAGAAATAAGAATGAATAAATGAATGAATGAAAGGCACAATGATGAAAAATGAAATGAATGAATAAAAGAAAGAAAGAAAGAAAGAAAGGGTTCGAAAGTGAGATAAGGTTTTGTGCGTTTTTGTCTGTCTTTGAAAAAAAAAGCAATAGTTGACAATTGCAATAAATAACCGCCACCCCATGCGCAGGTCGGGGTCTGGGTAATGTTATTTATGTGTCGTTTTTAAGCTGTATATTATCCACTTCATTTATTTTCTTACGAACTGCTTTGCGCCTTTTTTACACTTTACCAGTTTGATATAAAGAAGCTACATTTGAAATTCAAGCCTGCCAAATCTGCTTGAATAGATAGATAGATAGATAGATAGATAGATAGATAGATAGATAGGAACAGACAGTGAAAGAAAGAAAGAAAGAAAGAAAGAAAGAAAGAAAGAAAGAAAGAAAGAAAAGCTGTCGAAAGACAAGATAGAAAAGCAAATAAGAAAAGGGATAGATAGTGGTTTGCTAAACGTAGCTTAGATGTGGCACAACACCGAAAGTATGGGGCACCCAGTGAGGATCGAACTCCCTACTCAGTCGTCATATGATCTAGCGAGACAAGCTTGCTAACCCTTAGATCATGTCGAAGTGCAAAAGAAAGAAAGAATGAAAAAAAAAAAAAAGGAAGAAAGGCGGTCGAACTGAGAAAGACAAGATAAAAAACAAATAAGAATCAAACTTAGACAGCTATTTACTAAGCCGGAAGTAGGGAGCACCGGTGAGGCTCGAAATCACTACTCAGTTGTAAAGGATTTAGAATAGATAGATAGATAGATAGATAGATAGATAGATAGATAGATAGATAGATGTGAACGCACGAGAAGGAAGGAAGGAAGGAACGAACGAACGAACGAACGAACGAACGAAGAAGGTGGAACGGTGGAACGGTCGAAGAAAGAAAGAAAGAAAGAAAGAAAGAAAGAAAGAAAGAAAGAAAGAGTAAAAAAAAAACAGAAAACCTAAAAACAACAAAAACGAGAGATAGGTGAGAGGACAAAAAATACAAAAACGCAAGCGAAAAGAGAAACTGGAGACAAGAAGTAAATATGGCTTACAACGATTACATTTTGAATACTCACACACAAAAAAAAAGGGGTTTTAACAGAAAAAATATCGAATCGTCCACGACAGGACAGAATGGCGCTAATTTTTTAAAGAAATAAGTGACAACCTGTGGCACCCATTATGTTTTCAATGTATGAATTAGGCAAGCTTAATAAATAGAAGCTTTGCCTTTTGTATAATAATTACTTTTTGTTTTGTTTATTTTTCCACTGCTGATAGTTATTGACGAAAGCTTAAGAAAACCGGTTTCTGTAAACAGGTCTCGTCAAATCTAATAATATTTATAAACGTCCAAAAAGTGCAAGTTGGGGTGGAAGTATAACGTAATTAAGAGATTAGTGAGAAGGTTTAGGACGCTAGCAACTTAATAGTGGTAGAAATGTCGCATCGAACGCATATAATAGACATTTACATTTACTAAGCAGAAGCTGTAATATGTTACTGGATCTCAAACGTGAAGCAGCGTGTGAGAATCTAATTCACTACTGTCATAACAATCTGTTAAAAATATTCCTCGAGGAGACGCCCCCGCCAAATGTGTAACAAATTCTGGCCTCTATTTTTTAACTTAAATTCACCCACTACAAAGACCCAAGAGCCATTCAAGACAGAAGGTTACTGAGTGATATTGTCGTAGGGGAGGATAAAGAAATGCATGTTATGTAGGATAGATACCGGTTGACATGACTTGAAGCAATAGTCGTCAGAGAAACATTCTCTTTCTTAGGAATTTGTTCGACAAACTAATAGTTCTGGGGAAGAAGCTGTGTGTGTGGAACTTATTACTTATCAAAACAAAACGAAGTGGATGGGGATGATTTGCCACCGTGAACATGGCATGGTGAGTCCTAGCTGTGAAGGGCTGAGCTGGTGAAACTAAGGAATAAAATTCAGTATCTGTCTATATTTCTGAGATAAGGTATTATGAAGAAAAATATACAGAAAAAACAAACAAAAATCTTAATATGCAATTATGCTGTATTAATGTTAATATAAAGTCAACATCGGACGTTTCCGTCTATTTTAGACCATCTTCAGGACATTTTCATTTAAACATAATTAACATTAGAACATATAAAAATTCAACACGAAAAGACGATGGACATAAGAGCACAACTAATCCAGCAGATAACTGAAATTTTTATATAAGATCAGCGTTCCGTTTAAATATGATCACGTCGTCGTCACGTGGGCGATGTTGTGAAAACGTATTCGAAGATGATTTCCAAATATTAAAATATTAAAAAAGTGGATTGAACTATTTTATATAAACAGTTCAAGAAATCCCTTCCGTTGATATATGAATACGCAGAGATCAATAGGTTCTTATATCTTCATACAAGCTTGAAGTCTTCCACGTTACAAAGCAAATCAAAAATGATTTCACAATATCAGAACGATGGAACAATTTTAAAAACAGTTCGATAATAAATCCTTTCCTTACTTGATCAATAGATTCTTATATTTTCGTACAAGCTTGAAGTCTTCCATGTTATAAAGTAAATTCAGGTACTATAAGGTATTATGTACATTATTTACATTATTCGCACTATTGTCCTCATCTTTGTTGCCATATTTATCACAACGTTTTGGCCCTTCAGTATCTGTCTATATTTCTGACATGAGGTATTATGTACACTATTTACATTATTCGGACTATTGTCCTCATCTTTGTCGCCATATTTATTACAACGTTTCGGCCGTTGTACGCTCCGGCCTTCTTCAGGTGGTTTGAATGTCGAACTGAACCCTTTATTTCGCTCACTGGGGTAGACTGTTCTAGTTTCACGTGCCATGTTAATGGGTGTCAGTTATCAGTAATCTCCTGTTAATTTCCCTCTGAAAGTTCTCCACCGCCTTAACCGGGTATTGAACTCACACTCAATGACATATGGCACAGTGGATAAAAGGCGTTAGTTAGATCCAGTGACAGGACCCAAACAGCAAATAAAAGATTGTCATATGATATGTACCGTCCCATGTGGCAACGAAAACAGCACAGTTTCGTAAAAAATGTAGAGAGAAAAAGACTTGGGGTACCAGATACCTCGTTCTGCTGACAAATGTTAAGAAAGCCATAGCCAGAGTATGCGACAAATGAGAAACTTCAAAAGAGTACAAAGAAGCGGCTCACAATAATCAAAAAGAAAAAGCTGAAAATTTTGGGAAACACAGAGGAAAGAAGACGTTGAGAATGTATCACACACAGTGCACATCAAAGCAAGGGAAGTGAACTTACCTGATTAATTTATGCAAATGGTTAAAGAAACACGTACAACAAAGAGGAATAACAAAGGAAAAAATGTTGCTGAGAGTAACGAAATACAGGAAGCTGTGGAGAGCCATGATCGCTCATGTCCTGAATGGACATAGCACATAGAGAAGTTGGAATGAAACTGCCGTGGTTCTACAGACTCCCAAGAATGGAGGATACTGGTTCAAATCTCAACAACGTTCATTCCAAATTTCCAATCAATGGTTCTTGCTTAGTGGTGGTGATATTTACCGTCTTCGCTACGGAAGTAAGATATGACACAAGGCCGGCTTAACATGGGGTGCAGATATGCGTACATATGGGACAAGGGAAAAAAAAAGCTGTCTGCTTCCAGCGGGCTCATTACTTGCTTAAACGCTGTAGAATATAAAAATAAATAATATGAAAAAGTAGATAGGGTTGCCTATCGCCCTATTCACACTCCTCATTGAACAGGCGCAGTTGTTTATCCCTTATTTCCTGTTTAGGAATGCGTTTCCGGTTCCCTCAAAAGTGCTTTCATTCTCTTTTACTCTCATGGGTTACAAGTATTGTGATCGTGAATGTAACGAACTCGACTGGAATTCGAAATCGGCAACCCGATTTCACAATCACAGTCGCCATCCATCGACCTACGTGTATATCCCTAATAAAAAGTGCTCAAAATTACTGTTTTCTCGGGGAAAGACTGAAAAAATATTTTGGGATTTGAATTGGAAAACGTACAGAAAAATTGAAAAACAACTAGTAAATTTCTTATTCAACTTTTTCTATCCTTCTTACAATGCCAGTACAAGGCTCAAGCGCCACTCGAGATAGAGGGTTAAAGAGTAAGAGACAACACCCCAAGCAAGGTGACAATGCCACCAAGACACAAGGAGACCCAGGAAGTGAAAGAGGAGAAAAATTTTTGGAAAGAACCGGAAACCCAAACCTAAACAAGAAACAAAGGCTAAACCTCTACTTCTCTTCAAAAGACCGGGGAGGAGTATGAACCGGACGATATGTGAACATATCATTTCCCTTTCTCCCATTTCCTTAAAATAATCTCTCTGTCTGTCTGTCTGTCTGTCTGTCTCTCTCTCTCTCTCTCTCTCTCTCTCTCTCTCTCTCTCTCTCTCTCACACGCACACACATTTTTTCCGACATTCAAAAAATTGTTTTCATGACTGTCAATGGAATGTCTCTAAAGAGATGATCAAATACAGATGCTGTCCGTCAGTTGCAAAACTCACGTCCGGGTCTGTAGGGTCAATGAGCACGCGTCGTTTTGTCTCGGGAAAGGCAAACATCTACTTACAGACAAACATTAAAGGGTAGTGATTTCAAGGACATTCACGTCTGAGGACAATCTTCGATTTCCATGAGGCTTCACTCAGCAAAACATATTTCTATCTCTAACAACATGCTTGGGTCTTTAACCACTTGTTAAAGAGAAATAAGATGCAAAGCTCATGGAGTAACGTTTCCAATGTATGTATTGTGTTTCTTTGGACAATTTTTTATGGACATATATTATATATTCGCCTGCGTGTCTGTTTTATTTCTTTTATTATCATATTTTCTCCATTTTATTGTTTTTTACATCTAGGTCGATACGCTCTTCGACCACGAAAGCAAAAAGTACGAAATCGGAAGTAAAAAAAAAAAAAAAAGGTTTCGACGAGAAATGAACTCCCATCAGGAACTCGTCTTAGCCGCATGGGAAGTTCATATGCGGATTCATTTTCTTTATATTTAATTTTATTAATCACCCATTCGAAAGTTGGATCAGATAACAGTCACATTGGACCGTCATGAATTTCTAGAAAAGGAAAAACCGCAAACAACCTGTATAATCCACAATTATACTTCAATAACAAATATCAGTAATAAAATAAAACTAGAGACTGAAAGAGTAAAGTTGCAAAAAATGGTATTTTGTGGATAATTAACTTAGAAGCAAAGTCCGAAGAAAACGGGTCAACCGTTCCTGGTTGGAATGTTTTTTTTCTCTCTTTTTCTTTTTTCTTTTTTTTTTTCTTTTTTTATTTCTTTTTTTTTTTTTTTGGTGGGTGGGGTGTCTGAAGCAATAATAAATTTTCTTTTCATTGTTTGGTTCTTAATTCAGTAGTTTCATTTTTGGTTCTGGTTATCGACCCTTCGAGTATTTGGTTCGTTGCAGACCGTCATGCCACATCCTGCGCAAAGCAGTGGGAGATTTTCGAATCCTTTAACTTCGTACTTCCCATGGTTACATAATCGGCGCCGGTTACTTTTTATTTTTTCTACTAAATGTTTACCCAAATATAAACCCCAAGAGCCACTCAAGATAGAACATTACTAAATGTGATCGTTGCATGAACTTAAGAGTAGGAAATAAGTATAAATTGTTAGGATATGTAGGATCGATAACGGCTGATCCTGGAATTGAAGAGATTGTAGAGATTGGAGAGGCATCCTCTCAGGAGTCTGTTCCCCAATGTAGCGGTTCTCGGGCAGATGCTGTCTGGGTGGAACTTCCTTCTTACTAATAAAATACAAAGGGAGTGGGGGGGGGGATGTTTTGAGCTTGTATATGTGGCTTGGTGAGCCCTATCTAATGTTCAGAACTGAAGGCGATAAAGAATATAGGACGTTTACATATAGAAATAACGATAGAATATCGATAGGCTTGCGATGTTTTGTCTGTGAGAAAGAGGTTGTAGGGTGGGAAATAATTGCCCTAAATATTCGAGTATAGCGCAAGTGTTTATCATCAGATTTTATGCAAAAAATAGGGCATGCACTATACACAGGTATTTTTTTAAGAGGTTAAAAATCATGCATTTTCGCTGACCAGTTACACTATACACGGGTATTTTTTTCTGGTGTGGTTAAAATTCATGCCAAAAAATTTAGGGGTCGCACTATACATAAAGTTAGCTTATTCAGGAGTATATAGGGTAATCGCCTACAAGGCCGCGTCAAAGCTTCCGAACTCTGTCAAGTCTGGACAGAAAGTGAGTATTGGGCTGTTCAAGCCCAGAGATGGCAACAATATTCCATTTTTGGTCTGATCTCTTGTAATGATAAAGTATGACAGATGAAGTCAGATACTTTTTGGAGCGATATAAGTACCCGACATTTTTCCAGCATCTAGTAGCTTCCTCAACAAATTAAATATCTTGACTGATGATCAGGCCATTTGGTGACGTTGTCCGCATAAATGCTGCACAAACCATAGAAGCAGAGTTGGTTCAACAGGTAAAGAAACGACATCGAAGAAATTACATGCAAAATCTTTTCTCAACTACAGTGCTTCTCGACCTTTATAAGATTTTAAAAAAAAATACACACATGAATATGAACTTACTTTATTTCAATGTTTCTATTCAAGTATTTGTGCAGCTTATTTAATGTAAAACTTGCGCCTGGTATCTTTTCGCGATTTCTTCAATGTTTGGTCGATTGTGCGATAAGCAGACGCTCATTTCTTCAATTGAGCGTAGTCTTACTCGCTTTTTAACTTTGATGTTATTTAAGGTTGAAAAACCTAATTCACATAAATAAGAAATAGAAAATTTCAGTAAAACTGATAAAGCCTTTTTGGCTAATGTGGGATATTCCTTTTGTATTGAAATTCAAAATGTATCAATGGGAACCGTTGAATGTTTTATTTTGAGTCTTCGATCACTAGAAATGGTGGCCAATGGTTCTAACTACTACTACTACTTATTATTATTATTATTACTTTGAATTCTGGTGTATACATTTCTTTCCTGGTCCCATCACGTATAGTGTCCTTTTATTGTCCCAATAAACAGTAATAGCTCTCTCAAAGAGGAGAGTAACAAAACAGGGGAGGCCACTCTTGATTATTCATAACACTTTATTTCAATGTTTCTATTCAAGTATTTGTGAAGCTTATTTAGTGTAAAACTTTGGTCGATTGTGCGATAAGCAGACCCTCAATTCTTCTTCAATTGAGCATAGTCTTTCTTGGTTCTTTATTTCTGGTGTTATTTAAGGTTGAGAAACCTAATTCACATAAATAAGAGGTAGAAAATTGAAATAAAACTGATAAAGCCTTTTTTAGCTAATTTAGGATAAAAAGGTTCATACTTATTTATTTACTAGGTTAAAAGTCCCCCTATTGGGCGGTATTTAAGCTAACTCCTGCAGAGGGGCTCTTGATCGGACCTTCATCACAATAGGTAGGGAGGAGTATATGTGATATTCAGCAATAAACTACAGAACTCAAAACTGATCGCTGCATTTAAGTTTTAATTTAATGTTTAAGCTTACCTTTCAAAACTCCAACAATAATTCTTCTGTCTTCACTTAATTTAAAGACAATTCGATGTACATAGGTCCTTACTTTCCGTACAAACAATTATTTTTATTTCATGGGTGACTTTCACTGGACTTTGCAATTAATTTCGATTATTACCAAATTAGTTCACAAGTTATAAAAATTGTTATCGTACAAAATAAATTGTCTTAAAAAATCATTTAAAAAATCACCGAAAACAATCGCAGTAATGAAAACTTGGGAATCCAAAATTTCAGGATTGCGAATCCGGACCGGAATGTTATTAATTTGCTCGCGGAGTCGACCTGATTCCAAAATGATATGATATGTTGGGCTACGGCTTCTAAGAGTAAAGTTTTTTAAAAAAGCGTGACACAGTGACACACTGACATTCGCATATATTATATAGATTAAAATACTAATGATGTACCATTACCACTGTCGCACACAGATATATATGTATACCATGACAATAATTCGCGGCACACTTAAGATGATCGCGCGGCACACCAGTGAGCCGCGGCACGGTGTTTGAGAATCACTGATCTACTATTATTCAAAGTTTTTTTTTTTCAGATGCTCGACTTGCAGAACAAATTTGCCGTTCCAGTATTGTTTTAATCAGCCACATGAGAATCTATTCACCATGAAGAGAACCGGCCGACTTAATCTGAAAAGTCGGTCGACAACAATAAATTGTATGATTGGAAACGTTGACGGCCCATTGTATCTCTCGGTCCCTGTGGCGTACAGGGCCACAACTTCACCACGGTAACTGGTGCTATTGTGACTTGCAAGTGGGTTTTACGTGGTGAATTTTCTATCCCTTTTGAAATCAGAGTTGCCCTTCTCTAAACTGGTTGTCAACTAAGGCAAGAGAATCCAGTCTATCCTGTTATTTAATCCATAGCTGGAGGAGAAGATATAGATAGATAGAGAAATAGATCCATACTTTTCTCAAGAGCATGCGTGCAAAAGTGAAAGCAGCAGCTTTGACTGAAATATGAACACGTTCGGCGAGGCTACTTTCAGCACCGATAGCAGCTACGCTACCCCCTGCACATCTAATTCCCTTGTTCCGTTGTATCGGAGTAAGGGAACTAAATCCTATTTGCAACTAGTAGATCAGGTTATGCTTACATATGCCTAAATTAATATGAATCATGGATCTTTCAGCAATGATAACGACCCTAAGTATACCGCCATACTAGTTGACTTTGGAGACAAAGATATTTAGACCCTTCAGCTTCGGAACCAATCACAAGTCACCAATTATGGCTATTGACATTATTTACATTCGGGCTAATGTTCACAAGACAATAGCCTAATGGGCTAAAGCGTTGGACCATGTGGAATTCGAGTTTAATCACCAGGGAGAATAATACAAACTCGCAGCACTATTCCTAGATATTGCCAGCGGCAATACCTCTGTAGATTAAATAAAGATTTCAGTTCGAAATTCCCTGAAGGTTTCAGGATCGACAGACACCGGAAGAAGACAGTAATGCAAAATAGTCGAAACGTTGTTATGATAGCAACATAGATGAGTGCATCGGTCTGATTGTAAATAATGTAAATAATAATAACACCTCACCCCAGAAATTCAGGCATTCTTATGGGGGTGGGGCGAAACAATATCCGACACAATAAGCCCACAATTGTGAATGATGCCCATATTTGTTTGTTTTGCTGCATATCAACTCCTTATGGGTGATTTAACGTCAAAATTTAATTTTCTTGTGAGCATAATTTCTTTTACAAAAAAAAATGTATTAGGTTGGTGCATAATTATCAGGCGTTTTTAAATAATATTTCCCGTTATTTCGCGAAAATAATACGCACCCAAAAATAATACGCACCCCAACAAATGATCCAAAACTTAAGAAATATATCTAGCTTTATGTATAATACGCATCTACAAAATTAGTCAAAAAAAAATAATAATTACGGAGGCATTTTGTGGGCCTTTAAGAATAAACTCGAAACTAAGCGGCTAAAATAATGTTGAAAATTACCATCGCGGTTTTCCTGATAAATATAACATTTTATTTTACCGCCAAAATGTCGTCACAACGCGCGAATTATAGTGCAAATTTCAAACATAGATTTAGCAGAAAGAATAGGAAACAGATCTGCAGTTAGAGAATATGAGTTGAATGAGGCTAACATACGTTTATGGAGAAAGAATAAAAATGAATTAAAATAGTGTAAATCAAGTGCCAAAGCTATAAGTAAAGGAATTAAAGCTCAATATCCAGATATGGAACAAAGTTTAGTTGAATTTGTGAAAGGGAGACGATCAAGTGGATGTTCCATAAGTATTGTGGAAATAAGGATGAAGGCAAAAGAACTTATGAAAACAATGTATCCTGGGAACACATTTAAAGCTTCAGCAAACTGGTGTTTTCGTTTTATGAAGAGGTTTGATATATCTATTAGGAGAAGAACATGCATAGAACAGGACGAAGATAATATTGTGAATGATAATTTGTTTAATGACAATTTAGATATTGATTCTATAATAGAAAGTGATGATGATGATGATGATGATGATGATGATGATGATGATGATGATGATGAAAAATTAAAATTTCAATGAATTGTTAACTTGATATCCTCTTTTCTTCAAAATTGGCTCTTTCATACATTTTTTATTTTTTCGCCAAATAAAAAATGCAGTTACTGATAAACATAAATTTATTAACAAAAAATGTTACAATTATTATTGTTGGATTTCAAATGAAAATTGTGATGATATCTTTCTTATTTTAGAACAAGTACGTATTTATTATTATAAATCAATAACGAAAAAACATTTTTGTTTAAACCTATTTATAATACGCACTCCTTCTATCACCTGTAATTTGCAGTAAAAAAATGCGTATTATTTTCGAGAAATTACGGTAGTATAAAAAAAGAAACATAACAATTCAACAATATCATTTTAAAATGATTATTCCGGAGGGCATGGTTATCGACATGCATTTTTATAACCTGAAAATAAAATATTTTTATTTAAAAAAGTAAACAAAACAGCAATTTTTCTTAATGAATAATTCGGCTACAAAAACGCCTGATAATTATGCACCAACACAAAATTATTGTTTTTTTTTTTAAAAAAAAAAATGTATTGCTGGCAATTTTTTAACTATGAAAATGTATTGCTGATATTTTTACTATAAAAATGAATTTTATACTTTCATAGTGTTTTGACCCCAATGTGAGGGTTCACTATTTACTCATAGCTGGGACCCAAACAGATTCTATCACCCCGAGTCAGAATGGACCTGGAAACAACAAGCTAAACAAGTTAAAGGATTACATTTTCTAATTCAAGAAAACAAAATACTGTACTATATTTAAATAGAAATTTGAATGATTTTTAATCGATTCTTCAGAAAAAAAACAATCGAAACGGCCATTTTTAAGCGTTGAGAGAAATGTAAACAAAACAATTCTCCGTTTCAAAAATCTCCCAAAAATAAAAAATACATTTCTGAAATGTTACTTTCGTAAAATTAGAAAATTTAAAGATAAATTAATCTGTTCTGAAACAAATATTACTTACTCATAGCATAAAATTTTCTCGAAAAGAATTTCTTGACCACGTAGTCTTCTCACATCTCCATTGATAATTTGATGGCCGAAAGTGTTGACAGGTTTAGTATGGTGGACCAGAATTGATATAAATTTCCGAATTCTAAGTAAGAACGGTTTTAATGTTTTAAAATTAACAAAATATTTTAAGCAATTATCTGATATTTTACTGAATTTTTTAGGTAATTTTGAAGATGCTTTCTTATAATATAAGATTATTTCATCATGCTATGCTCTTTTTCAGCGAATTATTTGAGGTACCTATTATACTATGTGTTTGTTAAAATCTAAAAGGGTAAAATGATTTGGAGGCAATATCATTTAACTACACTAGGATTTCGTTATCTATAGCTTCCACAACACCGTACGGATGCTGACGCCCATTTGACGACAGAAGAGACGCAACTCCCCTCAAGAAGAAGCGTATTTGACTTGCAGGACAAATCAACGAGAAAAAAATAAAATGATTTACATTATTCGGACTGTTGTCCTTATCTTTGTTATCATATCCACGACGTTTCGGCTATTGTACGCTCCAGCCTTTCAAATCAAAACCTTTATTTCGTCCACCGGATTAGATTGTTCTAGTTCCACGTGCCATGCCTCTTCCAGATATCTCAGGATCAGTTATTTCCCTTTAATAACGGAACTCCTCAAGTTTTTGTTGACCTCTACTGTGGCCAGTTATTGAACTCACAACTCTTTGGGTCAAGTCACTGGATTATTTCAACCAACACTTTTAACCACTGGTCCAGTTGAGGACAGATGACCCAGTGGATAAAAGCATAAGTTCTATCCCAATATTTTCTTTATATGCAGTAATTCCCCATGTATAACACGCATTTTTTAAAATAATAAGCAACATTAGGGGTGCGTATTATGCACAACTACAAAAAAATCTTTAAAAAATTGCCTTTTCATAGATCGATTTCAGTTGCGAAATGACTACTCAACACAAACATACAACAATTTGACACTAACATTCGGCGATTGCGACCCCATAATGATGTCAAATACAATCATATGTGCCTAACAATACTTACAAATTTAAAATAAAATAAGAAATATCATTTTTGTTTCTTATCCTATCATTCTGTCGGATTACAATCTATATTTGATCTCAATATTCAGGGTACCCCTGAAGTCTGGACTCATAGGCAAAGATGCATATTTTCAAGAAATTACATTTTCAACAACATTTTATTGAACTAGAATATTAACAAATAACATCTTCAATATGATCTCCATCATTTGTGATGCAAAAGTTGATGCTCTTTACAGGATTCACATGAACTCGATGCAATAACTCCACATTACCGTCAATTTTAGCACATTCACTCTTTATGCGATCAATTAGGTGTGCTGTATCTGTGATTTTGATTGAGTACACCTTCTCTTTAGCAGACCTCGGAAAAAGAAATCAGAGAAAAAGTGAGTGAGAAAGATTTAATAAGCTGGTTAATAAAATTTGGGGGATAAAAAGCCAACAAAATGATAACAATATCGGTAATAAGATTGATGATATATATTATTAGCCGTTTGACTAAATTGAAACACGAAGAGAGAGATTTTAAAGTCGGAATTTACGGACACGCCTGTGTCCTTTTTCAACGAGACGAGGAATAAACAAAGGAGTGGCACTTACTCTTCCCATGAAAGTTGTTGTTCCCTGTGGAAATTATATTCTATAAATAAACCCAAATCCCTATTTAGTCCCTTAACGTGTGATTTTATTTTGAAAATATATTTCAACTCCAATCTGTCTTTTTGTCGGCTGTTGAATGAAGACGCCAAAAGCACTCATATGATGTCATCAATGTTATGCAAAGGTTGGTTGAAACGTGCAGCGACAGAGAAAATTGCTGTTGCCGTCTTTGATGTTTTTTTATGGTTATTGAACAAAATATATATATTTAAACGTTATATATATATCTATATATACATATATATATTTTCAAATGTCATTTGTGTGTGTGTGTGTGTGTGTGTGTGTGTGTGTGTGTGTGTGTGTGTGTGTGTGTGTGTGTGTGTTCCATGTCATCTTTTGAATAATGAAAGCGCGACTAAAAATCTGAAAAATAAAAATCGAATGAAACAATGTAGGGAGGGAATAAAAAGAAACGAAAGAATGAATGTAAATAGAATGAAAATATTAACAGAACACAGAATAAGAAATGAAAGAATACAAAAAACAAGAAACAAGAATAATGTCTAAATTCTCTAAAAGAAATTGTTTCACTCGTCAAAGCGATATTTCACGTCTTACTGAAAGAGTGAAGTGAGAACAATAAGTGAAGAAAAGAAAGAAAAGAAGCGGGGAAATGCAGATTGCACAATGGTCTTTCCATACACTGACTCAGTTCTCAACCCAGACGTCGGAATTTTGTCTACATTGTCAATTCATAAGAACGGCGCGATTTATTCGCAAGACGCCACGATGTTATCAGCATTATTTTTTTCCTTTCCTTTTTTTTTTCTTTCGTCGTGTGTTTTGTTTGCGTTCCTGTGTTTGGGTAAATAACGGTGGACAAAGAAACACTGACCAAATTGGGGTAAAAGTTGAATGTAACAGGATAAATAGACTTGGACGAATTCAATACTGAACCCACCACAACATTTTTCCACCTCTTTCTATCTCTCTCTATCTATCTCTCTCTCTATCTATCTCTCTCTCTATCTCTCTATCTCTATTTCTCACAGGCACACACACACACATACACGCACGCGCGTCGCGCTCTTTCGCATTCTCTCTCTCTCTCTCTCTCTCTCTCTCTCTCTCTCTCTCTCCGTCCTCCTATTTATCACTCCTCTCTCTCTACATATATAACGTGTGGTCTGAATAATCAGTACTACTATTTCTCTCTCTCTCCCCTGTCTTCCTCACTATATATATATATATATATATATATATAACGGGTTTTATTTTTATTTCTTTACATTAGGATATGAATTGAGCAGATATAAATGCATGCAAGAAAATCATGGAAAATTGTAGTTTAAAAACAGTAAAATCGACCTTTCTAACCGAAACGCTCCTCTGTGGCGAAATCGGTAAAAGCACGTCAGGCTATATGACGGTTCCGTATAGGATACAGGTTCGATCCCTGTCAGAGGACGCATATTTTCTATGACAATTTCTCGGACATTCAAGCCGGTAAATATTGTTAAAACTGTTTATTATAAACAGAGCATTTACTTAAATTTGTATCTATAAAAAAAAGATTGTATAAACATAAAAATGTCTTAATATATATATATATATATATCGTACTGAGGAATCGGCAGGCTTCCATCCGAATTCGTTAGATTGACATATGTGTAAATACCCTTGGGAAAGGTATGAATCCATTTCTTTTTAGTCCAGTGTGCTTTGATGTGCCGTAATGCAAGCTCGTCTCGCTAGAATAATTAAGACAGAGTAGTGAATAAATTGACAATCTTGACAAAATTCCGACGTCTGAGTTGAGAACTGAGTAGTGAGTTCGATCCTCACTGTGTGCCGCATATTGTCGGCTTTGTGCCACATCTAAACTACACTTAGAAAATCACTATATCTTCTCATTTATGGGTAAATAGTAGAACAGACTGGAACCTATAACCTTGAATGGCAGCCGGTTTATAAGAAGGGCAACATCTGGATTCAAAACCTGAAGAGGCACGTTTGAAGACCTTGTGACCAATTCTCTGTATTCGGATTTTCCAAAAAGTAAGGTTCGTTCTGGACAAACTTTCACCACTATAATCAAATCATATGAGTGGATAGTACTGGCCTTTCGGTTCTAAGTACTGAGTTGCTGCATCCTCACCCTCATCCTCATACATCGAAAAAGACGGGAGTGTGTATATATATATATATATATATATATATTATTATTATTATTATTATTATTAATCCAACACTTTTATTACGTCAAACATTATTTTAAGTGGATAACCGTTTTTGTAATCGTTACTTCGTTTGTCTGTTTGTTTTGGGGTTTTTTTGTTTTGTTTGATTTTAAGCAATATGTATTACGTCTACCGGCTTGCACACTCAAGAAAACTTAAAAAAGAAAATGTACCCTGTGGTAGAATTTGAACCTGTGTCCCACTTTGTCGGAGAAAGGATTGTTTCATTTGACTTGCTTTAGACCGCTTGACCACAGAAAGTTTCACAGCTCTGCAAGGATCTATTTACACGGATCAAACGATGATTTCTACGCCAATAGAAGTAATAAACACCGTTTTAAAAAAGGTTGACGTCTATTTTAAATACGGGCATCCACAACAAAATAACGTTTCAAGTAATAAAATAGATTAAAAATAAATCTATTAATTCTTTATAAATTGCTTTGTTTACGTTTCGAAAACGAAACCAAGAAGATATGTGCTTTCAAGAAAATCTTAACAAGATAATGTGCATTCCTTAAAAGAGTAAAAAAAACTGAGCTGGTCTTTTACACGCTCTGCGACAAAGCGGTCTAAAGCATGTCGGTCAGATTGTGGTTTCGCCTACAAAGTAAGACTTCGAAGCCTGCTGGGGAGTCGGTTTTCTTTATTGAGTTTTCTCGAGTTCGCAGACCGGTAGACGGTATACATAATGTGTTAAGATAAAATTAAAAAAACTAGGCGTCTATTATAAAAACGGATATCCACTAAGAATAACTTTTTAAGTAATATACATATAGGTTTAGTTAAAGACCAAAGATGTTGTTAATGATTTCGTTTCTTTATATTTTCAGTATTTCGCTAATTTTTTTAGGTTTCCGGTGAAACTGTCCAATACTTGAATATTATTGACTTTCATAAGCCGAAAGTGACATCACGCTTGAAGACGCAATATTTTAAAAACGATGAAACCGACATAGTAAAATAAAAATAAAAACATCTTTTCTAATGGCCAATGAAGGTTCAAATTACCCGGATATTGGACAAATTATATTTAACTTTTCACCAGAAATCAAGAAAATTGGGTGCATATTGAAAAATGAATTAAAGAATTGTGTAAATTAAAATTTTCTGCCTAAATACACCCAATATACAGTGGAACCTCGGTTCACGAATTTAATTCGTTCCTGAAGACCGTTCCTAACCCGAAATGTTCGTAAACGAAACTAGTTTTCAAATAGGAACCAATGTAAAATGGATTAATATGTTCCTGGTCCCAAGACGACTGCTTACTTAAACATTGACAACAGTACTCTGTGCACAAGTTTATACAGAAAAATAATAAACATCAATAAATCTAAGAATAAATAAATAAACCCAATACTAAATAGATAAAGTATAGACGAACACTTTAATTTTATTGTACCTGTATGTAGGAGAGTTGATGGCGTAAGTGGAAAGGGAAGGAAAGAGATGTTATTGATTGGAAATGGAAGACATGATCGTCTCTTTATTTATAAGAATAGTATAGATCGTTGATTTTGCCATATGAAACTGAGTAAGAAGAGACAATATCATCATCATAGGGACAATATCACCAACAATTGTTTTTCTCTTAACTTTTTCTTCGAAAAAAAAAAGGGGAACAGTACAATAAAATTGGAAAAGAAAATCACAGCACAACACACGCATGTATACAACATGGCGATCAACTCAGAAATGATTCCGTTCGGTTTAACTAGGTTCGGCTTGGTTCAGCAATGTTGTTCGAGTATCGAAATTTTGTTAAATAATCGAGACATTTTTATCTCGAATATTCTGTTCGAAAACCGATTTGTTCACCATGTGAGACTTTTCGAGAACCGACGTTGCTCTGTGTATATATATATATATATATATATATATATATATATATATATATATATATTTTTTTGTGTTGTGTAAATGTGCGTGTTTATGAGCGTATTTATGATGCATACGTATGTCTTTGTACTAAATGTGGGAGAAAATATCAGAAAACATCAGACAGAATTTTCATATGGGAATCAATAAATATTCAAATATACAAATCTATTCAGCTTCACATACACTACACACATGGTTTCTTCCGGTGTCCGCCCGACCGGCAATTCATCCGTTTCTTCACCAACCCTTCTGTCTCGTTTTGTCTGCGCCCCCCATCCGCCTTTCTTTTTTCTTTTTTTCTTTCTTTCTTTTCGGAAAGATCAGTCACGGTCTAGCGCAAAAGAAATGAAGAAAAAATTCCATTGCAAAGAAACCAAAATGGAGGATGCGAATTTCCGGTATTTTCTCTCGAGACACTCCCTATGATCGCTATTGCGATCAAGGGTAGGGGGTGAAATTAACAAAAAGGACACAAGCAAATTATATATATATATATATATATATATATATATATATATATATATAATGACATGTCCATTCAAGACGTCAAAGATTATGGCTCTCTATAGATATTTTTTTATTTGGGAATTGGCATATATAAATATGTGTGCGTGTGAGTGGGTGTGTTGCGTATGTGTGTGTGCATGTGTTGCACGTTTATTTCTTTAGCCATTCTCTTAGATTTATTCTTCCTTATTTTCTTCATTTCAATTTCTCTTCTTTCTTTTTCTTTCTTCCTTTCTTTCTTTCTTCTTTCTTTCTTTCTTTCTTTCTACACTGTCATTTTCTTAAATTTATTTTTTCCTTCTCTTTTTTGCTGTCATCTCCTTTGCTATGTTTGATTTCTCCTCTCCTTTCTCCTTTATTGTCTTCTCTTTTTCTCTATTTTCTTCGTCCATTTCTCTTTCTTTTTTTTTTTTGCCTTTTATTTTCTTTCTCCTTTCTCTTTCTTTTTTTTTCTTTCTCTCATCTCTCTCTCTCTCTTTCTCTCTCTCTCTCTCTCTTTCACTCTTTTTGCCAATGATTCTTTTTTCCTTTCATTTTATCATATTTTTCTTTCACCCACATTTCTCCTCTTTCTTTTTTAACGAGCTTCTTCCGTGTCAAGAATGTTAAAATAGATGAACGCCTCATTGTTACATAATTACGGATCATCAACCTACAAAATATAATAATTATCAATCATTCTCTTACACACTAATAGGAGAACACAGATTATCGAAGATTTTCTTAAATCTCGTTTAAACGATAAGTTAACGAGAATTTAATGAGACTTCGACTTGACCGTGAAATAAAAAAAAATATTTCACACATATTTACAAGACTAGTTCTTAAAAAAAAATTACTGTTCAAAATAAAAGCAAATAATGAAAGTTCTAAAAAGTTCTGAAAGATTATCTTTTCATTGGCGATGACCCATGAAATTTTATCTTTCCATTCTCTCTCTCTCTCCTTCTCTCTCTCTCTCTCTCTCTATCTATCTATCTATCTATTTCTTAGTAATGAACGCTTTAACTGCTCTCGACCCGTTTCCTCACTTTCTCAGATTCCAAAATTTCGTGAATCTTTTTTTTTTTTCAAAAAATACTAATAAAACATTTTTTCTGAATACATTTAGTCCCTGTAACAGTGGCACACTCATCAACAAATATCTTGCAAGGGAATTTTGCATATTCAATTTCATTGAACCTGCCATAAGACAAAAAACCTATTGTAAACAGGATTTTAATGTGGATTGTTGTATTTCACACACATGCACACATAAGATTAGATCGGCTTGACGTAGAAAGTAATAGCTGCCAACTTAACCTAGAAGTCAAAACTGCTTTAATCAGTTCAACTGTTATGAAAATGATCCATATTTATTAGATTCTGCTTTACTAAGCTTAGTAAATTTTAGAAGGTGCCTCGCCATGAAACAATTGTTTTCAGGCTCGTATTTCAGACTATTATAACAATAGAAAGAATTCCTCTGGTCCCCCCACCGCTTCACTCGTAAGATTTTGTCTAAGTAAAGTTATATTTATATATATATATATATATAGATAGATAGATAGATAGATAGATAGATAGATATTTTATTTTATACATACATATATATATATATATATATATATATATAGAGAGAGAGAGAGAGAGATATGTGTGAAAAGTGTGTGTATATAAATATAAATATAAATATATATATATATATATATATATATATATATATATATATATATATATATATATATATATATTTATATATTATATGCATGGTACTTATTAGAAAGCGCTCAATATCAGAGCTAACATATTTGGTTGGATTGATGTGAATTTGTGACCCTGGGTTTCACGCTTTTGCGATCGATTGTCTGACGATCGCAAAAGCGTGAAACCCAGGGTCACAAACTCACATCAATCCAATCAAATATATATATATATATATATATATATATATATATATATATATATATATTTTATTTTAGGATATTACATCAAAATATGTAAAAATGCTACACAAAATGCAATCATGTTTCGATGCATTAACACATCTCATCAGGCGTTAGAAAATAACTGGTGAGTAGACAATTTATTGAGATTTAAAAAAAACATACAACCTCTTTCACGAAAAAAGAAAGAAAATTATTCTTCCTTTTCTCGGGAAAAGACGATGTATCTTGTGTCTTTCTTTTTTACTCTTTTTCTTTTCTTCCTTTTTTCGTGAAAAGTGGCTGTATGTGGTATAAATCTCAATAAATTGTCTTAACTCACCAGTTATTTACTAACGCCTGATGAGATGTGTTAATACATATCGAAACATGATTGCATTTGTGTAGCGTTTTTACATGTTTTTGATGTAATATCCTGAAATAAAGAATATTGCTCTACTTTTGTATTGAGCCCTCTTTTAAATTGAATGTTACGAACATCGGAATTAGAAACTATTCGTTCTCATTTCTTATGGATATATATATATATATATATATATATATATATATATATATATATATATATATATATGAACCTTTTAAAATCCTTTATTCTACATTCAACACTATCACTTGATAAGACACCAGAAGTGTTGAAACAAAATGGCTATTTTGTAGAGATTTTATAGGACGGAAGATGACGATTGATGTTGCATTTAAATTTTGAAGATTGTAGTTTTCACGGAAGTTCCACAGGCGGAGTGTACGAGAAAAAGAAACTGTTGAAATGGCAGTTTTCGCTAAACAACCTGCACAAGTGAATTATTTAAAGTCGTCAGTCGCCTGTGTCCTGCAAAGGTACACACTCTCCATCATAGCACCATGTCCTGTACGGGTGCACCGTGGGACACATGTCAGATGATGCTACAATCGCAGGCCTTTTAATAGTGAATTAAACACACACACACACATATATATATATATATATATATATATATATATATATATATATATATATATATATATTTTTATTATAAGAGATTATAATAAAAGCATTTACATCTCTACACAAAAGCTTTCATGTTTCAATACTATAATTTTACTTCCTCAGGCGATGGTTGGTAATTGGTGACAAAAAAATTTTTAGGGAAATTTAAAAACAAATCGTTACCTCTTTTCAGAAGAAAGGAAAGGAAGTACAATCATAGTATTGAAACATGAAAGCGTTTGTGTAGTGAGGTAAAATGTTTTTATTAGAATCTCTTATAGTAAATATATTGTAATAATTAATATTGAGCACTTTTTTAAAAAATTAAATGCTACGAACTGTGGATTTTTACACCATTTGTTCATTCTCTTATTTGTATATACATATATATGTGTGTATGTGCGTGTGTATTTGGTTGAGTGTGTATCTGTGTGTGTGTGGAATCGTCACCTCCCTAATATATCTTTAAAAAGAAAAACTAAACTTCTGCACACACCTAATGCACACACACACACACACACACACATATATATATATATATATATATATATATAATTGCACATGTCTCCTGACGAGTGGATGGGGCGGTTGCTGAAGGGTCCGTCTATGAAAATCTGTCTAGAGTCGGGATGCTGAAAGTAACGTCAATCACCGAAGTGATTAATTTTATATTTTTCTATTAATCCTACACACACACACAAACGCACACACACACACACATGTGTGTGTGTGTGTGTGTGTGTGTGTGTGTGTGTGTGTGTGTGTGTGTGTGTGTGTGTGTGTAACGTCCGGTTGGGACCTGGGGTATAGTAACCAGATTACTTTATGGATTTCTTTTTAGATTAAAGAAAGAGTTTCAATGATGTAGTTAAATGTAACCTAAAGCAAAAAAAAAAAAAAACAACAACAACAAAAAGCGCCGGCCTCAGTAAAAAGAAAGAAAAAATAGAATATGTCCCAGAGCTATTAGGACGCCAACACACTTGCAGTGTTTGTGGAAAAGTGACCCTTTCATTAGCTAGAGAGGTCAGGTGTCAACACCTGTGAATGCAACCTTACCAGAAAAGACCTGCAGGTTACTTATGCGAGTTGTGTGACAACGTTTGTAAGACTATAGCGAGATTCAAAAATCACATGATTGTAGACAGGGACAGGCAAATTTCCAGCATAGGTAATACAGACAAATTTTATGTTTTGCCACGTGTGTAAGAGACATTGTAAAAGTGAAGCTGGCCTTAAGAATCATTTATGCGCCCATAGCAGAACGTTAGCTCGGATAAAATGATGGAAATAATAAAATTTGGAATGAGAAACAAACAAAAAAAAACTACCAAATAAAGAGATAGTCTCCTGCAAAGAAGTGCAATGGATATATTATCGTCTAAATTACGAAAAAAATGAAAATAATAATGATATCTCACATATTGGCAGATATATTTACCAGAATTACCCAAAAATATCGTGAAATACTAAAGAGTAAATTTATGCAATAAAATCGCCATTGGCTTCAACCACGACCCCTGGACGGTATGCTTAATTAAGTTGGTGAATGCTGCCACAAACCTTTCCTTCAGTTCATCATTGGTGTTACAAAGAGTTTTGTTGGTCTCTGTTATGATGTTGATTTGGGGTTAGTAGAGACAAACGCCAAATAACACGTAACAATGAAAAGGGTTTTAATAGGTTGGTAAAAAGATACAGAAATCGCCTGAGTAGTCAATAACTAAATCACCTAAGAACTTCTCTGTCTATCTGTCTTAGTATTTATCGATCCACCCACGAAGATTGAATATGGCACAAGGCCGGTTTAAGGTGGGTATCTCCGAGCCCGTAGGCTCGGCCAAAAACATAGCCTTTGAACCCACTTGACGGGTTCAGGCCCTGTCTACCTCCCCGGACGAAACCTTGCCCTTCGGCAAAGCTTCGTCCGGGTTCCTCTCTGCTAATGCAGAGAGTTAGACAGACGTCGCTTACAGTCAAAGACTATCACAACGCAGCTAGACTCGGAGGTCTTACCCGCTCTGTCTATCTGCCTTAGTATTTATCGATCCACCCACGAGGATTGAATATGGCACAAGGCCGGTTTAATGTGGGTATCTCCGAGACCGTAGGCTCGGCCAAAAACATAGCCTTTGAACCCGCCTAGACGGGTTCAGGCCCTGTCTAACTACCCGGACGAAACCTTGCCCTTCGGCAAAGCTTCGTCCGGGTTCCTCTCTGCTAATGCAGAGAGTTCGACAGACGTCGCTTACAGTCAAAAACTGTATCACAACTCAGCTAGACTCGGAGGTCTTACCCTCTCTGTCTATCTGTCTTAGTTTTTATCGATCCACCCACGAGGATTGAATATGGCACAAGGCCGGTTTAATGTGGGTATCTCCGAGACCGTAGGCTCGGCAAAAATATAGCCTTTGAACCCGCCTAGACGGTTTCAGGCCCTATCTACCTCCCCGGACGAAACCTTGCCCTTCGGCAAAGCTTCGTCTGGGTTCCCTCTGCTAATGCAGAGAGTTAGACGACAGCGCTTACAGTCAAAGACTGTATCACAACTCAGCTAGACTCGGAGGTCTTACCTCTCTGTCTATCTGTCTTAGTATTTATCGATCCACCCACAAGGATTGAATA